CGTTCTCTCTGTAATTTTTCTCTCAATTTCTCTGTCTTTCTATCTTTTTGTACTCGTTCTCTCACCTTTCAGTGTTATCAGAATCGTTTACCGGACAAATCGGCACTGGTTGCTGTCAAAATTTGTGTGTGCGTCCTAATTAAAGAGTGAAAGTAGTTTTATTAAAATTAAAATTAAACGTACGAGATGCGCAGGTATACTGTCTTCAGTTAATAATTTTATGAAACCGCCAGCTCCATCCTGGATTCTTCGCTTGAGTATAAAGACGTGCATGGCGTACAGAGCCCATGTAATGTCGCAAGTATGGTGCGTTCCTTCAGGCTAACCCTTACTTCCTTCCTAAACAACCCACATTAGGTCTTACAAACCGCGAAAGAAAACGCGCACTGAACCCCGCCTGCGTCCGCTCTATGCTGTGTTCAATGACCATGACATCAGAAGCTATATAAGCACTCTCCCACCGGCATTGTCGTCGCTCCGAAAAGCGAGCCGAGATGTATACACCGCTTGCTTCGGAAAATGGGCCTTCGATATATAACTATCCGCGAGCGCTCGAACGAGAGAACGCCGAGAGTACGGCGATCCTCGCTTTGTCTCCGAAGTCTGCTGCGTTCTAACGGGCCATCGATTGGCGCTGTGAAAGATAACGCCAGAAAAGAAGAGGGGTGGCAGCGCCAAGTGGTGTAGCGCCACAGAACTCTGATCGGGCTCAACTAAGCGGACCTGTTCGCCCGGGCCCTCTAGAGTCACATTCCCAGGATCGGGAAAAATATAAAAACAAAATGAAAAACAACGCCCGCGAACCACCTTTTGTCCATTGGCACGAAAGCTTAGTGCGGCGCACTCCGGCGGCCCTACACCCTACCAATACCCCCATGTCCCTTCCATTACAGCAAAACGCACAAAAGAAGCAGCGTTTTGAAGGTGATAACGAGAAACGGGAGGCTATCTCGGGGCAGAGGAGGCAGCGAAAACCATTATGCCGGGAGTCGTTATGGCGTAAGCCGCAAGGCTGCGCTAAAAAACTTGCTTTGGTTTTTTTTTTCATTCTTTTTGTTTTTATCTGATTTTTCTTCTTAGTGTAGTTATATCGTTGCCTTCTTATCATAATGTGATTTCGCGAGCTGCCGTAAGATACTGCTCAAGCCTCGCTGCACGTAAAGCCCTTGGATACCGGCTTTGAGTGCGCTTATCGGCTCATTTTTATCAGTGCAAATATTATATAAGGATTCCTTTGTAACTTCAGCGGGAAGTTAAAAGTATTTGCTTGTGGCCCTTCACTTTCCTCCTTGTTTTCGTGCCGTCACATCGTCTCTCCAGCCTTAAAGAAACCTTTTAGTGCTTCCTACATACGAGAAACCTAGCGAAAAAAAAAAGTAAAGAAAAAGAAAAGGCTGCGTGATAGGTTTGTAAGTTTGGTGCATCATGCTTAGAAGGAAATTTTCTGGCTCACTTTACATGTGGGTTCTTCATTGTTTGCGGTAACAGTATCAAGAGCATTTTCGGGGCAACCACAAGTTTATACTGGGTCGCTAGACAAGGCCTTGGCCTCTGGCCAATGATACCGCGAAACTGGCTCTTCTGGCCTCTTATGAAGAGCGAGGAGAACGAATCTCACCACAACGTTTTGTCTTACATAGGCTGCTTTTAGCACGGTCCTTCAATATTTTATAGCCCCTTTTTTTCTAGCCTTCAATAAAAGAAAGACTACCAGTTCACTGCGTCCGTGAGATAATGGTACCTAAATACAGCCCGTACTAGGTTTCTTCTATGTGACACTGGGAATCGATTTTCTTCGCTACACACGAATTTGAGTGCTAAACGAGGTCAAATCACCTTCCAAGGCTTTCACTTCGGGACCCGCGGAGATCTGGTCTTGGTCGTGATAGGCGGACTCGCCTTATGAAGGACTGGTATACTTCAGGAAAGGGGGAGGGGGGGGAGTTTCATCGTGGAGGACGCCATCTCATCGCGGTGTGCAGTAGTAGCAGGGAATGCGCACTCTGCAATTACGTGAAACGTCTCTAACCTGAGCAAGCATACGAGGGTGATTCGGAGATGAATATCCAGACGTGTAAACGTACGTTTACGTTACAGTCAGGGTGATTTCTCTGTATTTTAGAAAGAACGTTCTGAGAAGTCTACATTAAAAAAAAAGGTTGTGAGGTAGACCCCCTACAGTTTCATATACAAAAATAGTTGGCTGTTATAATAAAATAGAATTAGTGATCTGTGTATAAAGCTTTGTAAATAAACATCCCGAGCGTTGCGAAGCAGTGACATTGTTATGAGTAAGTCAATGTTTCCGTAAGCGTATTTAACAACAGTGGACTAAGGTTGCACGATGTGCTTGCTAGTTATCCATAGTATCTGTGGCATAGCGCATCCAGGACGGGACAGAGAAGAAGACACATAACACATTTAACACATAACACTTAACGCTGTGTATGTGTTGTGTCTTTTTCTCTGTCCCGTCCTGGAAGCGCAATACCTCAGTTAACAACAGTGACTGAAGGACATAACGCTGCATAGTTGTGTCTAACATTAGCACGAGTATTGGCTGACACTATAACGGTTGCTATTGACGTGACTGACGACAACATACGTCCAAATACCTATATACGGCTCGAAAACAGCATTTTTGTTCTTTGGTGCCTATAGCACTCGAAGGGGAGTGGCTGTCTGTGGTGATTTGTGTGGTACTTCTCAAAAATGGAGGCAGAATTTCACTTGCCGGTCGAGCAGATGATAACATGGGAATAAAATGTCATGCTAATAGCTTTGGGCAAGGCACTCTGTGGTTCCTAATGGTGCAGAGGTCTTCAGGCAAACCAACACGATTGGATGGACCAAGCAGGACTGAGGAACCGTGCACACACGACCGGTGATGGCAGTCCTATCCCGTATACCGCCTGCTGTGCGTCAGTAGACAGCAGCTGTGGGAAAATTTCGGACTGGTTACCCCTAGAGTTGTGTCACGCAACACAAAGAGATAGAAAACGAAGGAAGCGAGAGTGGTGTGATGGTGTGAAAATACTGGTGCGACGAAGATAAAGTGGGTCTTGAGTTCTCGAACACTGTCACTTGCGCGTGCCAATCAAAAGAACCCTCGTGTGAAGTCTTTCGACTTTTCGCACCACTGCAGTTCTACATCTTCCTACCGAATAATATATTATGACACCCTTTCTTTATTCTTCAGAACACTGTATAGTGGTGCTGCTCTACGATTTGTTTAGTGTCTAACTAAAATGTATAACGTAAAACTACAGATAATGAATGATGAATAGCCCCGGCACTGTACTAAAGAGACTTTTTGATGGGGCTCTGCTCTGTTTGAACATCCTGTCATGTTCTGTATCTCTCTCTTATGAATGAACCTGCGTGCGCAAAGCAGTAGTTCACTTTCTTTTTACTCTTGCCCTTTGTCTTTTTTTTTTCATCTTCTTCTCTATCTCATTTTCCTCCTCTCGGTCTTCCACCTCCTTTCTCCTCTTTCCTTCGTTTCTTCCTTCTCATATCTTATTATCATATAATTTCTTCCTAGACATGATTCAGCCACGTCTCACGTGTTAATCATTAAAAGCCTGCTCAATATATGGGCTCGTTGAGCCCTTCGGAGACCAATGCGTTACTCTTGCCCACATGTTCCTTTTCAAATTGGCTTTCTTATCTAAATCAGCACCTTCAGTGTAATTAAAAACCCCTATTTATTTATTTCACATTGGCTTTAAACCTGGTACGCTTACGCAGGAACAGGTTTTCTCACACCCTCTTTTATTTATTTTGACCATAGATGGAAATGAAGTTTGGATTGGGTTGGGGCTCTGCTCAACGTCTCTCCTATTTGAATCTCTCCGCTCTCACGTCATTTCGTAACCACCTTGGTGACTCACTACGAGGTGTTCAGTGTTGAAAACGTTCGTGGCGGCTGCATCTCGATGAGTGCTTGCATAGCACGGTTTAGGTGTCCTTTACATAATGACGAACGATCTGAATTATTTGAGGCTTCCGCGTTCTAAGGTGTTTCGCGTAAGCAGATTACAGATTTCAGTGATTATTCACTGCGATGTATCTTTTCATTTAGTCCCCCCCCCTCCCCCAGGCGCATTCGATCTGGTCCGATACAAGCCACTATGTGAATACATCGTAAATATGACTGAAATCTGAAAGCATGCGCAATCTGTTATTTCTTTTTGTTGTGTGAGCTCACTCTACGCAGCAAGATGTGTTCTAGATCGAAAAAAAAAACGAATGAAATTGATGACTTACGATCATGCATGTTAAGATGTATGAGCTACGGGCCTTCCTTTTTGACATCCTAAGCACACAATTCGTGTGATGCCGGAGAGGCGTCGACAATATTCAGCCAGCAGTGTGATACCATGCTATATTTTGTTTTCTATTCCTTGACACTTTGCCTCTCGAGAGCTCTGTCGTTCCGCTGAAGGCAACCCGGCAGCTACAGCTTTCATATTCAATGAGGAGGTCGGGTGCATCTGCATGCAAAAAGACGGTGGGAGGTTACGCAGTAACTTAATGTGAGTATTTTATGGCAGAGAGAGCGGTGCTTCAACTTCCTGGGTTGTTAACTGAAAATGTGAGTGGACGCATGCCTAGATGTACGCGTGCTGTGTCTACACGTGTGTTAATGCATGCGTGAGTCCAAACACGCACCAAGAAAAAAAAGAGGGACAGCTTTTATTAAAGCGCAATTCACCGCAGGATGTCTCCGCCACTTCGATGTCTCCAAATGACTTCAACTGCATGTGTTGAGCCCTTTTGCCCATTTAACAGACCCGCCTAAGTAAATTAACGGACTTTGTGAAGTTCAAATATGAATTACGCAATGCCAGACACGATGGGTTGTGGATCATTCAGAATGTGGTTTATTACGGTTATAGCCATATTTCTCCGATTGATTTAACGTTGCTCCGATTCACTGTTTAGTTTCAGTAGTAAATACCTGTACAAATGATGCTAAATGGATCACCTGTGTGCAGGGGTGCTACTGAAGGAATCGTACGTAGACTGCCGGTCATACCTGCAGTGGAGTCACCGCTGCATAGGCACTTACGTACGACAACGCTACCTGTCCGACCGCACTGAGGCAATTGCTTGCCATGCTGAACTGGCTAACGCTTTTCACCTGGGCTTCCTGATGCAGAAGGAGGAAAAGGTCAGTAATTATGCTAATGCGTTGATCTTTCCCATTTCGACTGAGATGTATAGAAGTCCTCACGACAACCAAATTTGTCGCAGAGACGACGATAAAACTTGCGGTCTCGGGTCAATCTTACTTGTACCCCTTTCATTTAAATACTGGAATTTGCAGCGAATTCAGTGCATGCAAAAGAAAAGTTCTCTTTCATTGCCGTAAGACGCTCACAAAGCATGTAGACATAAAAGGTGGGGAGGGATAGAGGGAGAGGGGTGTGTGATTAGAGTTTGTATTTTCTCATCAACTTTCACATCATTGCCACTCCTTGTACAGGCACTGGCGGCCAAAAAGCTAAGTGCGCGTCAAGAAAACTGCCATTGTTCCACAGCAAACAACCATTTCCATCATTACTTCTGTGCTCACACTAATTGCAGGCAATCGCAAATGCAGTACGAGCCATTTCAAAATTCTGATCTCATAAGTCGTTTCAACAGAGGGTGGATCATCAAAGTATTGCCACATCATTCTTCCTCTTCCCCCCCACAAACTCAGTAACCACTACAGACCGGCCACAATGTCTTTAGCCTTTTATTTGGTGTTAATTGTTGCGTAACAAAAGCGGCAAACTTGTAAGCGGTGCGCACTACCGGCGTCAGAGGAAACTCGTACAGCGGCAAGCAGTCGAAATGTCTTAGTGCACACTGTCTTGTTATCTCCGTGGACGGGCATGCATATGCGCAGTGCTGCCAATCCAAATGCTCGCGATTGTCAGTATACCGACCATTAAATGCCTGCAGCTGTGCGGGTTTCATTTGACGACCACAGTAGTACATACTTTGATCCTCTGCTGAGAGGCAACGTACGTTAAATAAATGTTGTAACTTTAGCGTTAGCTCACTTTCCACACGTACTTGCGATAATTCTTCATCGTATTTTAATCACGCTGTCTGCGGAGAAACCCTAACATCTTGTTTATTTCAATGCTTCTCAGTTGTTCACTGACCTTGCCAGCATTACCATCACAAGTATATTATCCTCGGGTTGTTTAATGCCGAATAATTTTTTTCGCCACTATCTCTCAATTTCTTTCAATAATTAACGGTGAAGAAGTTTTAGGGGCAAAATGATTACCTCATCACCAAGTCAGGTGGGCCAATAAAATTAGGAAGTTCGCGGGTATAACGTGACAATGGAAATCACAAGACCGGGTTGATTGGTGAATCATGGTAGAAGTCTTTGCCCTGCAGTGGGCGTAGTCAGGCTGATGATGATGATAATGATGATAAAATATCAAAGACAAAATAGACACCTCAGCAGGAGTTCTTGCTCAATCTGCATTGTTGTGTAGGATCTTCTGCAGGCATCCTTATAAAATGACATACGAGGCACATTTACCAGTCCTTATGCCACTTTGCTACGACCATTTAATGCCGACTGGTTTCTTTGTACGTTATTGAAGAGGTCACTGTTAATTTGGTCCTACTTGGTATATGAACAGCCGTTTACGTCGTTGCAAAGCTCGAATGAACTATAACGATGACAAATGTAAAACTCAAGTCACTTAGAAGAAAAAGTATCCCTGCAGTAAAAAGCGTGGAGAATTTACGGTGGTGGCATTGAAATTCATGTTCCAAGTGGATCGAAAATACCGCCCCCCCCCCCAAAAAAAAAATAATATGCTTCGTCGTCTGCCTGAGAAGTCACTGAACTTGGTGAGTCAAGAGCAGTTGATAATGGGTTATCTTCGAAGGGTAGTCTACCACTTAATATAGAAGACGTTGTGAGAAAGCGGTTGAATTTTGTTGTCACAAAAGTAGTATAAGTACAATTACATCTATCTTGTATTAACTATAGTTGCACGAATCTGAAGCGCGTACAAGAGCAGACTCATGTGTTTTGCGCAGGGACCCGCTTTTGATGACACAAGCAAATCGAAAAGGAAAGAAGATTGGTCCGATCTTCTCCGTGAAGTAGACGAGCTTTGGCAGCATCTTTTTCATAGTGGTAAGCACAGGTTTGCTCAAGAAACGACGTTCATTCGTTGTTGTTGTTGCTGTTGTTGTTATTGTCGTTGTTGTTGTCGTTGTCGCTGTGGTCGTCGTCGTCGTCGTTGTTGTTGTTGTTGTTGTTCGTTTTTCATTGTTCATTTCGCATTTCAACATGCTGGTTCGCGCACGAAGTGCTATGATAAAATGCAAAAGTTTTGATTGGGCTAACTAGCTTACGGCAAATTAAATAAACTGTAAAATTATTACCGAGGTGGAGCAAGAAAGATATCACTAATGCTGAGAATTTGTAACTTCACTGAACAGCGTCACGTAATTGTAACACTAACTTGTTACCTGCATTAAAGGGTAGTTCCATTCAGTATTGAACTTTTTAGGCATAATAGGTGTTATGGCAACGTATCCCGCCGAATCCTGTTCGTATGACGGCGGCGCCGTCACACTTTTGTATTTCATTATGTTGTTCCTACGATTGTTGTTCAATCTACCCTTTGCTTTTTTTCTCTTTACCATACAGGTGATTCTAAACGACTGAATCAAGACGCAGTGTGTAATTTTGAATTCCTACTTTCGGCTATTAGAGGAGCTTCCATCAGCTACGTGAAGAGTGTCTTGGAAATTGTTCGCGCACAAGTAAGTATTCGCTTTGCTGTTGTCTCGCCGCACTCTTTCACCTAGCGCGCGTGCTTTACCAATTCCTACAACCGAACGCAAGGCGTAAACAGTTTTTTTTTTTCAAAAGCGTCAAAGCAGATACTTGTCATTGAGGGGGGGGTGGGGGGATGCTCGTAGGTAAAGAGTCAATTTCATGAAGCAGGCCAGTTCTTTCAAATTTGTTTGTTGTTCACATGTGTGGATAAAAATATTGTTTTTTCGTTAGTATTTTTTTTTGTGCACTGATATCACAACGCCACTGGGGTGTCGTGATAGAGTATTTTGCAGAGTATCATGGGCTGGAACGCAGTGCAGTTGTTAAAAGTGGATACCTGAGTTTCTAGGGTGACACTCAAACTTTCATGCTAATGTAGGAACGTTTTCATCACTGACACTACACGCATTAAATAGCGCATTCGGGTTGACATAGACAAACTCTCCATGCCTGCTTTTCTCGGGGTTAATTTGATACGTTCACTTTTTAGGTCTCTCGCTACTGAAATGCAGGTCCGCACATGCACTGTCTCTCTAATCGCATCAATATTGTGACCACCTCAAATCGCAGTTGCGCGACCTAGAAAATGTCTACCTACATAAGATGCAACCAGACATCACCTGACGGTACAAAAAAAATAAATGCTGAGACATGCGCTGCACCAACAAAATTCGTGTGTCTGCTTCGTTCTGAAACAATTCCCTCGGCGCTTCGCACCGAGACCATTCCCCCATCAGCCCCACTACTTTTTTTTTTTCTTTGGCTAGGATGTAACGCCTAATAACACAGCTGGCGTGACATAATTTGAGGTCCAAACCCTTTGCGCATTGACAAGGTTTCTCGTTTTTCAGGTTTGTCCACCACCCGTTTACGATTTATGTGCTTTTGCGGGCCGCATACTACGATATGATTGAGGCCCCCTGTAGTGGAGGGCTCCGAAAAATTGTGTCCGCGGCCTGGGTTCTTCAAGCTGTACTGAAATTTCATATTAAACGGGGTTCCGTTGACCTCGAGATGGAACAAAGTATAGGCACTTAGCGGCGAGCGCGCGAAACCACGTAGTGCGGACGGCTCCTTGCGTCGTCTGCTACCCACAACGTGTTCGTATGTATGCGAACATCATAGGTGCGTCATTGTCCTGCAAGTAATCGAAGAAATAAATATTAGTGCTGAACTTTGCTACCATCTCTTCAGGCGGTCTATCAGTGAAAGCGCTTCTGAAATATTCCCATGACGCTAATGCGTTGTCATCAGCACTGCTTGGCAGACTAAATGTATTAGCTGTGCTACACTTTACGAATGATTTAAAAAAATTGGATACGTATTCTTGCAAACAGATCAGCAGAGTGCCCATAGTTAAATTTGAACTCATTCATGCACAGTTTTTATCGTTTATTTTTTGCTGCTTGATCATGACGTATATACTTATTCGGGTCAGTCACTCAACAGCGTTGCTACAGTACTATAAGTAAACACAAATCAAAGGCGTAACAAATAAAAAAGAACATCAAACAAAGTGCGAGAACTCCCGACAGTCGCTGAAAACTATACCCCCCCCCCCCCCCTTCATTGGCTGACTGCGCTTCTCTCACACGTCATTAGAGTGTTAGGCCGGCATCGTGAATAAACGTGGCAATTGAGGGCGTACATATCACTATTAGGCAGCAGCGAACACACACCGCCAACAATCAGCTCAAGGCTCGCTCGCAGCGAAGCACCGTTGTGCACATTTGGATTCGCGACCGCCTATCCGCGATAACGCGGCAATGGTGCTGCCATCTGTAGCTCGATCTCGCGGGGAATAGCAGTGCGCTTTCGTGAAACCCCGCTGCCGCGCTCTGGATCTAAACCGCATCTTTCTGGTCAGAATCCGAGCACCGTAAGCTCTGTGACGGCAAATCAAATTTATTGTGAATATCTGTGACAACGGTGTTATCTAAATGACGATGAATACTTATGACGGCAATGTGGAAGTTAATGACGTTGTTGAGCGATCTTCGCCAGCTCATTGTGCATCCATGTGCGTGTTCTATAAGTCGCTTTCACGGCGTACCTTTGAAAGCTTCAAGGTTGAAAGAAAGCGACCTCATAAACTATATAATAAAGTCACGCTGAAAGGAATAAAAGGGTCTTAAGTCGACTAGCAAACAAATCTAATCCACAAGCCGTTGCATATGTGTCGCTGAAATTCAAGTAACTTTCTTAAGAAAGCTCCCCCATGTTTCACGTTTAATCTTACATACTGCAAACTTTCCTGTTCTTTGAAAAAGAAGAGGAAAGGAAAGAGAAAATAATAGGTCTAACTGTACCGTGCAGTTAGACCTGTTATTTGCTAATAGCCATTGTCTATTGCTAAAAGTAGTTTGTGTTAATATTTCATGCTGCGTAGAAAAAACATTTATATATTAAAAATCTCGTGATAATAAAGGTGCTTTGTTGTTTCTCATCTCTCGTCCTTCCAACAGCTCCTGGACTGGGAAATCGAGCTTCTGTACAATATGACCAAGCAGTCCGTCGACGTCTTGAGCCAAGACCCGCAGCAGCTAGCAACTGAAATCCTAAACTGGCTGCGAATATACGCTGGTACGTTTATTCTCGAAAGTGTACTGTTGTTTCCACCGCAGTGATTTATTATTTAGGGTGACTCTGAGGTGCCACAGTGTCCCGCAGTCGTTTGTTCATGGCTCAAGTGTTTATTGAATCGCTTCGGAAGTTATTCGTGTAAGTCTGTGATGGTGAAGTGCACTTCTTACTGCCACGCCTTGTCAAATGAATGTCGACTCGCAGTTTTACTCGTACTTCACCTAGCCGCAGCGCCCATCGAGTAATACACACTTCCCGAGAATGGCCGCATTTTCTATGCAAAGCGCAGTGACCACTTCTGCCAAGAGATTTCGCTGCCAGAGGCTCTCCCGAGCAACAGTGAAATTCTGGATTGCACTGAACTAGATACTTCTCGAAAAGCGAGATTCAGGAATTTTGCGCCATTGCTTTCGCTGCCGGGCAGTAAACTAAATTTTAGGCCGAGTAATGATTACATGGAGAGTTCAGGTACCCAAGCCCAATGCACGCTTACCCAAGGCACTGTCACGACCGCTCAAAAGATCATTTCAATACGTTCAGTTCATACGTCAAGCGTTGCGCGCTCTTTCAGTCACGTATATGCTTAAAAAAACTCGGAGCATCTCCCGAAAAGAACCCGGATGGGATGCGAAGCATGCAGCAGCGTTGCGCACGGCCGGCTTCACAGGTTGCACAGACACTTGGGCGAGTTTGTGGGGGTTCACAGTTATGAACGGTTGAAAAAACACAAGGATGGGCGCCGGACTCGCAACTAGTGTGTATTCACGTTGACTCGCACATATATGCGGACACGTGGTCACGCACGTGGTCACGCACGCACACACACACACACACACACACACACGCAGGCACACGCATGCACACACACATACATGCACACACACATACATACGCACGCACGCACACGCACGCACGCATACGCACGCACGCACACGCACGCACACACACACACGCACGCACGCACACACGCAGGCACACGCATGCACAAACACACACACACATACACACGCACACACGCACACACACACGCGCACGCACACACACGCACATGCACGCACGCACACACACACGCACACACACACGCACACATACAGACACACATACACACACACGCGCGCGCGCACGCGCACGCACGCGCGCATACATACACACCCACGCACACGCACACGCACGCACGCACACACACATACACACACACGCACACACATACACACACACGCACACATACTCACACACGCGCACGCACGCACGCACGCACACACACACGCGCACACACATACACACACCGCACACGCACGCACACACACACACACGCACGCACGCACACACATACACACACGTGCTCACACACACACGCACGCACACACACACACGCAGGCACACGCATGCATACACACACACGCACACATACACACACACGCACGCACACACACACGCACGCACGCACACACACGCAAGCACACACACACACACACACATACATACACACGCACGCACGCACACACAAACACACATACACGCGCGCGCGCACGCACGCATACGCACGCACACACACGCCCACACACGCACGCACACACAGGGCACGCACACGCACACACATACACACACACGCACACGCACACGCGCGCACGCACACACACACACACGCGCCACGCACGCACACACACACGCACTCACGCACACACGCCACACACATACACACACACGCTCACGCACACACACACGCAGAGGCACACGCATGCACACACACACATACCTCAACACACGCGCACGCACACGCACTCATGCACACATGCGCACGCACGCACACACACACATACACACACGCACGCGCACACCACGCATGCACGGACGCACGCACACACACGCACACACATACACACACGCACGCACACAACACACACACACACATACCACACACACCACACACACACACGTACACACCACATACACACACACGCACGCACGCACACACATACGCACGCACGCACGCACACACACACATACACACACGCGCGCACGCACCACACGCACGCCCGCACACTCACTCACACGCACATCCACACACACACACATAGACCCACACCACGCACGCACAGCACACACACAGCGCCGCGCACGCACGCACACACACACAGACACACACAGAGAAGCAAGTGACACAACACGCAAAGGTTTTGTCACGAATTATATTTCAAATAGATATATTTATTTTTGTTGCAGTACAATGTATAAAACGCTATGAGTTAGTGTTAGCAACGCCTCCTTTATATCAATGCCAGTGCAAACGCTTGCTTCTCAACGGGAGCCGTCGGTCCACCTTAATTCAGGGAGTGGTCGTGATGCAGTGCTATAGACCCATTCCATGTTTGTAAACACAGTTAGGCTGACGTTCATATATGGTTAAAACTATAGCGACGTCGCACGCAACTTCCGCCATAAGCGTTGATGGCTGCGATGTGCGCCAACAAAACGACATTGCGAGACGCGACCCGCATCCAGCTGCTACGAAGCTCGTCGGCATATCGTTTTTTATTTCTCTCGTTGCTTGACTGAGAGCACCTCATGCACCATTGAAAACCCAGCAGAAAACTGCGGTAGGCAGAGCGGCTTTTGCCTACCAAGACAGCGCCACCAGCATTTTCGTGACTGAAGTCCGGTGACGTTGTCTACATGAGGGGTCACGCTGCTCGCGATACAGGTGCGTCCGAGTGATTTTCCCCGAAGATAACATAGACGTGTTTCCCACACCAATAGGAAACATCTGTCAGTTTCACTCTTTCGTACTGCTTCTTTCTGGCTTGAGACGATTCCGCCGCCGCGTCACAGAGCAGCGCATGCAGAAACGTTGCAGCGACGCTTCCCGTTGGTTGCCCGCATAGCGCCACCAATGGCGACATGCTATCTCAAAACGTATACTTCACAGAGCCAGCGTGATTGCCAATATGGGGAACACGAGGAATGCAAGACACCACTCCACGGATTTGTACACAACTGAGGAAAAAATTACTTCTTATAATTTCCGTCATGAGGCACTGCATGAGGGGCTACTCTCCTCTTAACCGCAAAGCTCACCCGAAGACTAGGCGATGGCAGAGAGCGGGGAATGGCTAGAAAATATATAGGGTGGTGAACAGCTAGATCGGCGCATCTTGCTAGCATTGATAAAATAGATGATGCTTGTGTCACAAACGTGCAAAAACCTTGTTATCTCCCAAGCGGTAATGATCATACTGTTGTTGATCACGCTAGTTTGGTTTTGTTTTGTTTTGTTTTTAAAATTGAGGACACACCCACACTCCCTGCAATGCGCACTTATATGCGAAAGGTCGTCGGTTCAACAAGTGGCATCGTGTTCGCTCAATCTCGATTGACGCACCTACCGGTTTGTTCTATGTATATATCGCCACACGAAAAAAGAAACCCGTAAATATCCCCGTGGCACAGTTAAAAAAATAGTTGTGAGTCTGGCGTTCGTCCTTGTGCTCTCATGCTTTTGTGTGGTGTGTGATGGGTGTTTTTTTTTTTGTTTTTTGCGCTGTTTCATAATTTCGTCCCGGGTTGAACGGCGCTAATGCGGGTGTGGCGGTGAGCGCAGGAAGATTTGTTTGAAGCGATGACTAGCGTAGGTCATGTAGGTGACACGTACAGGCATGTATAAATGCGTACGTTAGGCGCGTGTCACGTTTATTGCGCGTCAATCGGTGAGTCGGCGGTGTAGTGACAGGCGGTCGCGGTAGGGGTGGCGGGCAAACGGACGAGGTGGCAGCTGCGCGCACCACAGTGAGCGCGCTTCAGGCAATTGAGAAAGTGACGTCAGTGCGCACTGCGAGGACAGTGTGACGTCGTAACCTACTTGGTTACGCCAAGTAGTGCAGCGGCGTAACCTACTTGGCACTGCGCCAACACCTATGGCGTGTGGCGCGTTCGCCCGGAGGGACAGCCTACACAGGCTAGTCAGAGAGCTGCTTCGCATCCAATAATTTCCTTTTACACTGCAATGTGATGCCTGCGGCTGAACAGGTTTGCAGGCAACGTTATGCGTTGTAGTTTGTTCAAAAAATAGCCCGGGACCGTGCTAACTAAAGTTATTGTACTCAACAGCTGTTTAAAATAGGTTGTACTAATGGAATGAGGTGACTCAGACAGGCCGGCCGACAACACTATAGGTGGTTCTACATTTGTTAAATGAGCACGCACGCACGCATACGCACGCACGCACACGCACGCACACACACACACGCACGCACGCACACACGCAGGCACACGCATGCACACACACACACACACATACACACGCACACACGCACACACACACGCGCACGCACACACACGCACATGCACGCACGCACACACACACGCACACACACACGCACACATACAGACACACATACACACACACGCGCGCGCGCACGCGCACGCACGCGCGCATACATACACACCCACGCACACGCACACGCACGCACGCACACACACATACACACACACGCACACACATACACACACACGCACACATACTCACACACGCGCACGCACGCACGCACGCACACACACACGCGCACACACATACACACACACGCACACGCACGCACACACACACACACGCACGCACGCACACACATACACACACGTGCTCACACACACACGCACGCACACACACACACGCAGGCACACGCATGCATACACACACACGCACACATACACACACACGCACGCACACACACACGCACGCACGCACACACACGCAAGCACACACACACACACACACATACATACACACGCACGCACGCACACACAAACACACATACACGCGCGCGCGCACGCACGCATACGCACGCACACACACGCCCACACACGCACGCACACACAGGCACGCACACGCACACACATACACACACACGCACACGCACACGCGCGCACGCACACACACACACACGCGCACGCACGCACACACACACGCACGCACGCACACACGCACACACACATACACACACACGCGC